TCGATTGGTATATCGTCTGGGCCTATTGCTTTTTTATGTTTCATCTTCTTCAAAGCTACAACCACTTCTTCCTTCCGGATTCGACGATAAAAAGAGTAGTTTCTACACTCTTCTGAGTTACTCAACTCCCCTAAAGAATCACTCATTTCATGTCCTTCATTGAAAAGATTATGAAAATAAACCTCTCCATCTGTCTTTAACCGCGTTCTCTGTAGCAAGAACCTTTCCATCCTCATCCTTGATGCACCTCACTTGGTTTTAGGTCCCTTGTCTTCTTTTCCCTTGCTCTAGATAGTTTTATAGATATCCAACTCTCCTTCTTTGGTATCTAGTCGTTTATACATATCGTCGTAAGCCGCTAACTTAGCTTCTCTGACAGCTTTCTTCGCCTCTTGCTTCGCTTTTCTATACCTTTCACCATTTTCATCGGTCCTCTCCTTGTATAAGGCTTTACAACATTCCTTCTTAGCCTTCACCTTTGTTTGTACCTCCTCATTCCACCACCAAGATTCCTTTTGGTGTGGGGCAAAGCCCTTGGACTCTCCTAATACCTCTTTTGCTACTTTTCGGATACAACTAGCCATGGAATCCCACATTTGGCTAGCTTCCCCCTCTCTATCCCACACCACATTGGGTGATGATTACCTTCTCTTTGAAAATGACTTGTTTTTCTTCTTTTTAGATTCCACCATCTAGTCCTTGGGCACTTCCAAGTATTGTTCTTTTTGTCTTACTCTTTTGATATGTACATCCATCACCAACAAGCGATGTTGATTAGCCACGCTCTCTCCTGGTATAACTTTGCAATCCTTACAAGTTATACGATCCCCTTTCCTCATTAGAAGAAAATCTATTTGTGTTTTTTGACGACCCACTCTTGTAGGTGATCACATGTTCTTCTCTCTTCTTAAAGAAGGTGTTGGCTAAGAAGAGATCATATGCCATTGCAAAATCCAAGATAGCTTCCCCATCCTCGTTTCTCTCCCCAAAACCATGGCCACCATGAAAACCTCCATAGTTGCCTGTCTCCCTGCCCACGTGTCCATTTAAATCTCCCTCCTATAAATAACTTCTCCGTCTGAGCAATTCCTTGCACCAAGTCTCCAAGATCTTCCCAAAATTTCTCCTTCGAACTCGTATCCAACCCTACTTGAGGTGCGTACGCACTAATCACATTGATAAGTTCTTGTCCTATTACAATCTTGATTGCCATGATTCTATCTCCTACCCTCTTGACATCTACAACATCTTGTGTACCAAGGTCTTGTCCACGATGATGCCAACACCGTTTCTCGTTCTATTTGTGCCCGAATACCAAAGTTTAAACCCTGAGTTTTCTAGATCCTTTGCCTTACTACCAACCCACTTAGTTTCTTGTAGGCACATAATATTTTTATCCTTCTCCTCACCATAACTTCCTCCACTACTTCCATAGATTTTCCCGTTAAGGTTCCTATATTTTCCACGTTCCTAAACGCATTTTGCTCTCTTGAACTCTACCCTTCTGTCCTAGCTTCTTCACCCTCCCCTGTCTAATAGGATCAAAGTACTTCTTTTGTGTGTCCCGGGTAAAGTTGATAGGAGCATATGCTCCCAAACAACTTTGAGTGGAGTCGTTCGAAAAGAAGTTTCTATGGCCCCCTTGCTCATTTAACACTGCATCCGGGTGCCGATGGAGATACAGCGACCCTTGCTCACTTATCACTGTGCTCGGGCCACACAGCGCGCCACTTACGGGTGACGCCCTAGCTTTAGCGCGATTTTGTTCTGGATTCATTTTCATAAGGATTCGACGTGATCATGGAGTGCCGGCTGTCGACTACCTGATGCCCTCCCCCTCCTCCTTTATCCGGGCTTGGGACCGGCCATGTAAGACATAGGCGGAGTTAGAAATTTATACAGCACCACGCGGCAAAATAAAGAATATTGATAACATAAATAAACATCCGCAGCACGTACCTGAACAATCTTCTTACAAATGCTGAAGCTCAAGCCCCTTTTGATTTCATCATTGTCATGCCGCCTACCATCATCGTGTGTCAATGCTACTAATCCGCCGGGATAAGAACTTGCCTCACTAATCTCAAATTCAAACTTTATACAAATGTACTCATCTGGAATACCTGTTCTCCACATTCCTTGCAATCTATCATCAGGGCCATCACTACCACTTTCAGAAATAGCCCGAAAGATGACAGTCCCCCCACCATTATAGGTGCTCAATAGGTACCCAATCATATGCAAGAGCACTTGGAAAGTCCTTTTTTCGTCCCCTATCACCTGATTAGGCAATGAGCTTTGAACATCAATTTCAAAGCTAAAGCCTTTATACATACACAAGCATTTGGCAAGGCAAGCAGCTTCCTTGATCATAGAATGTAGTTCAAACGGTTTCATCTCCAATAGGAACCTTCCGTTATCTTTTGCTGACATCTCCATCACATCATTTATCAAAGTGCAGAGAACATAACTAGTTTTTGCCGTTGTGTCCACAATAATGCTCTGTTCAAAACTTAAATTCTCTTGAAACATCGAAAGCAAACCCAAAATCGTATGCATTGGCCCTCATTCCATGACTCATTACCTTCTGAACCGAGTGCCTTGCTTGGCTAGCCATCATTGCATTCTTCTTAGCTTGTTGCAACGCTCGATTTTGTTCACCCAGTTTCTCCCTCATTAGTTGAGACTCTTCAAGTACTGCAGCATGGGATAGAGCCACGGCGACCTGGTCAGCCACAACTTCCACTATCTCCAGCTCATGATGGCTCCAACCTCCAGAATTTGCAATCGGAAGAACCAAAACCAATATAGCATAATGAGTATCAACCAACTGCGGTGTACCCCCTTTGAAATTTGAAGCCTGAAGCATTGGCATCCGGATTGCTGCTACAGCACCAGATTCACCAGACTCACCGCTACTTGCAGATCCCAGCGCTGAATCAGGTCTCAGGATCATTACCCTTTCGCTCTCCCTTATCTCCAACACATCTGGGTCATTAATTGGGATAGAATGGCGATACTTTCGCGAAGTACTCACTTTCAACTCATGGGTCAGGTTCATCTCTCCTCTTTTCTCATTCAGCATCCAAACTGCACAGTTATGCAAGTCTAACGTCTTTGAAAGCTCAACCAGAGTTGTATACAATATGGTATGCTTGTCAAGCGACTTCCTAATTTCCTGGGTCAGCATTCGAACATGCCAACTCGCTTCCTTCTGTATCTTCATCATCCCAACCTCTTGGTCTAATTCCATCACATTTTGCCTCAAGAACAATTCTCTCACTTTTACTTTGAGAATCATAGGGAACAGAGTTAAAAGGGTTATTGCGGTTGCGCAGGAGACCAAGGCCGTGAGGAACTTGGCAATGGTGAGGGACAGCATCAGTTGGAACGTGTAACGGCCATAATACGTCCAAGCATTTAGCAAATGGGTCAAGCCACAGAGTACAATGAATGCAATAAACTGCAGGAGAACCCATTTGAACGGAAAATTCGAGCAGCTGACAAAGTAAAGGAGTTCTATAGGGATTGAAAAATATGCAACTGCAATCAAGAAATCGCTCACTCTTTGTCCCTCTATAATGTTTGGAATGCTCCAAAAACCCTCCTCATCACAATTACAATGTGCAAAGTCATGATCACTGCCCGATACTAATGTAACGAAACACGAAACCAACAATCCAATTGCTAATGCTCTTAACATTGCAGATTGCACCCTCCCCAAGTGATCAATTTTGTTCAGATCATTCTCCTTCTATCAAAGTTTCGATTTTTCAAACTCCAGAACAACCAAAATTCACTCGAAAACCGGAAAAAAAAAAAAAAACACAACGAAAACTATTCAAATTCTATCACTTCAATCTCAAAACACATTTTCCAAATTCTAAGATCTGAAAACACCAACCTGGATTGTTGAAGGGGACTGATATAACCCCCCTCCTGAATTCTTAAGATCTAACCTACTCATCAACCAGGAACTCCAAATTTTCTATCTTTCCAATCAAAATTGCCCTCCAAATTTTCTATCTTTCCAATCAAAATTGCCCTCCAAACTTTCTACAATCCACTTCTCTGCTGTTCTTTCATTCAAAAACTACAAGTAAAAGTTTTGATTTTGGATAATCAAAACCTCAGAGAAGACAAGAACAGAAGCAAAAAATCAGAAAGAAAAAAAAGTAAGCAAAAGGAACACACCTCGTGCCTCCCGTGTCCAAATTAGAAACCGAAAGTTGGAAACTTTTTACTTTAATCCAACTTTTTAGGCGAAACCCACCATTAATCAAAGCCAAAGACTCGATCTTTCTCCACCAACTTGTTGCAGACACGAAAATTAAAAGTTAAAAGGCGCTAACTTATTTAGTGCATCTTTTATTTAATAAAATATTTTCTTTCCTTATTGAATTCGTTAAAAAGGTTGTTCTTTGTGCACTTTTGTGTTGATTAAATGTGGGCGAGCACATATGATGGATGTGCATCCTAGCTTTTACACGGTTGGATGGGTCTAATCTGGTGATGGAGTCCGTAGGAACACGTGATACACGTGCTCATGATTCTCTGTTTTATATGCAACCTTTATATGCAACCATTAGGTTAGAGAAAAGAATAACTTGTATAAACAAGTCCACCTGTGACGTTCCATCTCAATAATAGAAGGATACGTGGAAAAAACCTAAAACACGTCTTCATATTCGAACATTTAACACATACTGACAATTGTCAAGCATAAAAAAGAGAAATGCTTTTAAAATAACTAAATGCGCTTCTCAACCGCTAAAAGTGTTTATGACGGTGTTTAGCATAAATAATTCAAACTGCTTTTGGCTTTTGAAAAACAGCACTTGAAAGAAGCACCTAACAAAGCACAACAAGTGTAGTTGCAGTTTCCATTAACGTGCACCCAAGAAAGAAAATTTAGCAGACTTTCAGGCGAAAGCGATTCAAACTCCTTACACCGGGAAGGTAAAGAACCATTCGAGGCTCAAGCAGCTCATAACAAAAGCTTTGAAAGAGAGGCAGAACTGTGAATAATTTCCGAATGGATAAATATCAACAACAATATCCGGCAAAGTATAGAACAGAAACTCGCCGGCGATACCTACGCACATACACCATGAGCAATATTGACGGCAGCGGGATACTTCAGAGGGTGGAGGTCACGGGTATGGGGCCATCATTTCTAATGAATGCTGCACACTACAAACAGAGTATGGTGACATAAGGTATGTATTATACATCTATCTACGAAAAAACAGCGCTTTCAAATCCCAAAAGCAAATCCCTAATCTTGAATTTGATCGTAGTCCCCGTTCTCTGGAGATTGGTTTGGTGCACGACCTCCTCTTCCTGTCAATTCGTAAGCGCCTGTAGCTCTAGCATCCGGACCACCTCTCCAATCTGTGGGCCGTGAAGGTGCGGCATGCATGCCTTGAAGCATGAAATGACTTCCCCCCATAGGTTGCTGATCTTCATTTCCCCTGACAAGAGTTCTCCCGGAAGAGTCCAGTGTTGAGCGGAAGCCTCCGCTCATCATTTCCCCTGGCGATGGCAACTTGGTGGCAGAAGCATCTCCTTTTACACCAGCAGTCGCATCCTTTTTGGCATCAATCTGAAATGTTCCCACAATAACCTGTACGTGCAACAAACTAGTGTTTCGATAAATACAGCAGAACCAATTATCAAACATGCTAACTGAAACGAGCAGAGACTTCGGTTAAGAAGAAGAGAGAGTTACATAAATGTCCCCATGCCCAATAACATGGCAAAAAATCAATCTAAGGCATCAGATGGCATCCAAACCCCTTACTGCTTCAACGTAGAGACACAATAAGTAGCTAGTATCTTATGCCGCAGTTGTGCACTAAAACAATGTTACAAACGTTATTCAACCAAGAGTAAACTTGTTCTCAAATAGTACCTGCACAGGGCCTGCAGCCTTCAGGGGCCCACCAACTCCACCGCCAATGATTTGTCCGTCTGTATTAGATAGGCATACGCTGAGACCACCAGCCCTCCCTCCAAGGTCGGTACGTACATAAGACCCAGATAATGAAATAATCTCAAAGCGACCCTAACATCAGAAAGAAATCATTATACTTGATGAACTAAACATGAGGAAGATGATCAAGAAGGACTTAGCCAAACATATAATATTAATCTGAGGAACTGACATAATACTTTCTTAGCAAGAATATGCACAGTTTGAAAACATTTATTCATATATTTTTTTGTTTCCAACTTCCACAATTTCTGGATAGATAAGCATACGCACATTTACAAACTAATATTTTTATTTTCAAAGAAACCACTATAGGCATTAGCGACTCGTCATTTCCCCCTTTTCTCCTGCCTAACTACACACATACATGAGCAAAGAGACATTGCCCAACTATAAATGTAACAATGAACGAATAACCTGGACACTATTAAAATCAAAATTCAGCCACCCACATTGCTATGGTTGGTACTTTTTCATCAATCATATGATGCCTTCCTTTTGTAGAATTTACGGGGCAAAATGGCTCAGAACTGTACAGTCAAAATGGTTTTTTTTTTTTATTTGAGAAAACAAGAAAAAAAACAATTATTCAGAAACATCTACCAAATAAATTAGAGGCAAGTGATAATTGTTATTTTCAGATTTCAGGCTAGCATCTTTGTTGTATCTCAGATTAACTGAATGAATGAACCGAGCAAAAATATCTATATACACACAATAGGAATGGCTGAACTTGTACGTTTATGCTCCAGCTGAGAGCCCACGGATAAATTAATCTGTGACAGTTCCTATATTTGCCCACCAAAAATCAAATACTATATGGAAGGTCCACACTCGTATATTGAACATAATACTGAATATGATACTCCAAAAACTTCAAATACAATATATTTTAAGATAATTTCTGTTTCTGGTTTTTACTTTTTTTTTTTTTTGTTACAAAGTGTGCATCTCTTCAGCTCACATATGACTGTATCAAAAAATTATCACTAGGAAAAGGTTGAAGACAAAATTTACCTCATATGTAATGTTGCCTCCAGAAGTAGCTGGTTGGCGGAGAGACGCATTTGAGATGGTACCAGAAGCAGATAGAATGCATATTTCACGCTTACTTTGTTGCATGAAAAACATAATTTTCTGTCCCACATCCTGTTAGACATTTCACTAATCTGTATGAGCAGATAATACATAAAGAAAACACTATAACAGAAACAGCACATAATAACTGCACAAAAAGTAACTTCAGGCAAGGTAAACAACATAAGATGAGGCAACTGTTGTGTTATAAAAATATAATAGGATCTGCACTAAAGGTAAAGGAAACCACTTCTGCGAGGTTGTTCACAAAAACCACAAATATATTCAAGGAATTTTTCTATATCCCAGATCAGCATGTGACACATTGAAACACAAATGTAAAAAGAAAAAAAATTCATTCATGGAATCAGAAACGAAAGAGATATATTCCAGTATCTGCAATTTATAAGAAAAAATGTGATTGAAAGGGCAAAACATGAAATAAACTGTCACGTTATTCCTAAATTAACTACACTATTGCTTTGAGAATTCATTAGGACATGCATACCTCCCCAGCAGCTACACTTAAAACATGTGGTGTAAAACCTTGCCCTGCATTGCCTGCATTAATCAATTAAGAGAAAAAGTACCGCATGAGTAAAGTATGATTACTTATACCTCATTTTGTCAAACCAGAAAAATAAATTTACTTGGCATCACAGAAAAGCAAGGATTATAAACATATATTAGGACAAAAAAGACTTTCAGAAGTGGGAAGAAAAAAATTTCATATTTGTCAAGTGATATGCAGCATTCTTTAATGAAAACAGGTTTAACATCTACTAATCACTGAAAAAATGTCTAGTTATTATCTCCCTTCTCGATACAAAAATTAACAATAAGAATGATAAGTTCTAGAATTCTTAAAAAACAAAACAAAAGGGCTTGCTAAACCACAAAACAAACCACTTTGAAAGTATTGAGATCACTTTTATACTTGGTATTTCGAAAACTAAACACCCTCTAATAGAAAGCTAGGTACACTATCCTTCAAAAGCAAAAACATAGGAGCTCATTGGCTTCTTATCAATATCTTACTCTCAAGCCAACCAAAGTTTCCACTTCCAAGGCTGTGTGATCTAGGAAGATTTTGGTTCATGTAAATAAAAGTTACCAAATTAACTTATCTTCTCGTTTTACTTCCCCATAAGCTTATCATTTAAACAGGTCCCATTTCAAAATTAACAATGCCAACTACGCCACCATTTGGCAATAATTAAACTGAACACTACCAAAAGGCTACTACTTTGGATGTGAGGAGACCGAACAACCGAAAACACTTACAAATTCAACCATTGGAACAAAACCCTATAAAATGCTACGAATTTACAATAAACCATTAAAGAAACAAAAATCAGAAAATAGGGCAAAGCACTAAGATGCAATGCAAATAAAAAAAACTCACATAAAATCAAAGCAATTGGCAACATAACCAACCAAGAATCCGAAATTTCACAACCAAACACAAATAGGGTATTTCCACAACACCCGCCCAGAACCAGCAAGTTTCAATCTTTCCGCAACAATGCAACCAAAAATTCAAAACCCATATCGAAATTGAAGAAATTAACAGCAAAAAACGAAGAATTGCAGTAATTGCAGCAAAAATGTAAAAGGGTAATTATTTGCAACCCACCAAAAGAAAACTGCTGGGATTTCTTGGTCGACCCAGAATACGAAGGCGAGACGGCACCGTATTGGTCCTTCTTCTCCTTGGAGGACGAGGAGTGAGACGACGTCGTCGCTGCCTTCTTGGCCGCAAGAGCCTGCTCCGGCGTGCCGTACTTTCTGGGCCGCCCCCGCTTCCTTTTGGGGGCCTCAAGTGGCGAGGTCACCGCCGGGGAGGGAACCGAGTGAGAGTACACCATGTGGGACCCATCAGTGGAGTGTGTGTTGGGAAAGAGCCCATTGGTCGGAGAGGGGGTGGTCGTGGCAGCGGCGCCGGTGGCGGTGGTGGGGTGTTGGAAGTAGGAGCTCAGTTGGTTTTCATTGGGTTCCATTTTGAGTTTTAGAGAGAGAGAGAGAGAGTGCGTATCCGTCGAATAAACAAAATAATTATTTTCTTTTTCTTCTTTTAGTTTTTTTTTTTTTTTTTTTGCTTTGGTTTGCGCTTTTTATTTGTGTGGTGTGATTTGGGGCGTCGGATTGGGTTTTAGGTTGTTGATATGACATTTTGACTCCAGTCAACAGTTCACAATATTATTTCTTTTTTTTTTCAAAAATTATTTATAACTATACTTTTCTTTATTTGTACGTAAAATTTTTTATTTTAATTGTGGGCTTTAGGTTTAGCATAAAATATTGTGTGGTTTAACTCAAATTTTTTGTTTTAAAGTAAAATATCGTTGTATGAAAGAAAATATACAAAAAAGAGATGCGAAATTAAGTATGAGAATACAGGTCTCTATCTTAATCAACTGATTTAATTCATATTTGTTTTGATTACATGTTTTATTTTAATTACATACGACATTGTACACTAATATCTTTAAAAAGAAATGAAAAAGTTTGGATTAGAAGGCGGTGAATTAGAATGGAAGGCCTTGTAATTCTCTCCTTAATAGTTAATATCATGCATTCCTCGTTATTAACGTAACTAATATATTCCAAATATAATTCTTTTACTGAACTTTTTAATCTTAATTAAAAATTGTTTATTCGGGAAACAATAGATTTTATTAAATTTTATGAGTTTAAATTCATTTCTGCTTTTTTTTTTTTGATGTATTCCAATTATGTTTGTTTTGGTGGGACAATTTCTGTTAATTTGGCACCTCACAACCAACCCTAGGTTACTTCTCCAAAAGATACATACCTGCTAGTGGGGCTTTGTTCACAAGTTAGTACACCAGAAGAAGAACAGTAGTGTAATGCTATTTTTGTGGAATATTGACGGTCCAATACAACTACATTTAAGAAATGTGAATTAGGTCAATCAGTTAAGACGGTGTTCAACCGGCCAACGTTTTGCACTTAAATTCAAATATATGGATATAAAAATACTGTGGAACTCCAAATATAGGTGGAGATCATGGAAATAAAGATACTGTGGAACTCTAAATTGATGGAAGAGAATTAGATTTGCTTGATGGGATGTATGATAAGCCTCTTTCATGCTTTTGGTCATTGTGGCATTGGATGGTCCTCGTGAGTTTCTAATTCAAGATTCTTACTTTTTTCTTTTAATTGAGGAATGATAGAAATTGTCGTTTGACGGATTTTTCTGGACATAAACACGTATTATGTACGAGCAACAAATGATAGTGAATGGATCATACTGAATTGATTATGTGTTTGTATTAATGCTTACTTTTCTTTAATTAAAGAATGCTCTAGATTTTTTTTTACGGTTTTTTAAGGTACAAGACACGTATTAAGTACGAGTATTATAAGTGGCTCATAAGATAATGTATTAAATCAGTCAGACAGTGTAGTAGGACTTTTAGTAGGGGCGTTAAACCACTCTCAACAACTTATACTTGTGTTCGTGTTGAGTACATGCTCGTACTTTAGGAAGAAATTAAGTTTGAAGGCGCTATGCTTGTGACTGGTTTCTCTTGGGATTCGCCTTTCCACCACTATGTATTATGCCACAGCCCTTTGCAGTAAGAAATTATGCAGATTTTTCCTACCATTTTTGTCCTTTGATGTTAGTATTCGACATTTTATTTCCCTTTGTGCTGAAAAATCGTACAGGTGCAGGCTTTAATTTGCTCGATCGTCGTCGTGGTTGCTCTACTCGTTGTTTTCTGTTAGCAGTAGCAGCTGGTGTTAAGTTCCTTCACGAAAAGGATAGAATTTCTGCCACAAATTGGTGACAAATGTTCTCTTTTGTGACAAATTGTTGTAACAATTTAGTGATTATACGAGTTTTTCTTTTACTCTCTCAAGATTATATTTGTAACCATTGGAAAATAGAACACGAAACAAGAATCGCAATTGCTTGCATAGCTCATTTTTCTTATGGCATACTCTACAGCGCTCGATCACTCACGGTCTGGTGGTATTCATCTTCACTTGTAAATGAGAGGTTTTAGGTTTGAATCTCATAGATGGATAATTCAATACTAAATTAGGTTGTCCATTATATAGCTTAACCGAACTCCCCCTCCTCTTCACTTGTAAATGAGAGGCTTTAGGTTTGAATCTCGTAGATGGATAATTCAATACCAAATTAGGTTGCCCGCTTAATCGAACTCCCCCTCCTCTTAGGGTAAAATATATCATTGTACCAAAAAAAAAAAAAACTTTGCATCACGCGAAATTATGTTCTTTTTCTGTTTTTTCCTCGAGCTGGAGTTGAGCGTTTGAGTCTCCAACGTCCTTTAGTATACATGAAGAAGAAGAAGAAAACTTTCAAATCATACATACAGAGTTATAACCGTAGCTTAATTTTTCTTACAATGCAACATGTATACTATAGAGTCATAAACAACATGTATTGAGCCAATTACACAATTATTGTACTACTTGAGTTGAACAGAACTGTGAGTTTGAAGGACAGTAGATGCGTATCTGAAATTTCTTTCAAAAAACATTTAAAGTGCTTTTAAAATCCAAAATTAATTTCACCCTAACACTTTTAATCATTTTAAAAACACTTATAAACGAACCAGTAAACACACAAAATTATCAATTACTTGACTATTTTATTTGTTTTATAAAATATCACAGGGGTATAACTGTGACGCAGACAATGTTTTATTTATTTATTTTTTATTTTTTGTTTGGAAAAGGATCCTCTTCGGATTTATTTTTTAGGAATCCTATGTATCTCGTGATCGTGATCGTTCATCATACGGTTAGTTTTTGTTATATACTATTTATATTTAATTTTAAATTTTAAATTTTGAAATATTTTCTGATCGCTCTCTGTATAACGAACTGTCACGATCATAAAATCTTTAAAATCTAATCTCATTTCCCTTTTTGTTTTTAGCTTTGAAAACAGGTGTCACGGGTTCTCCCCGTTTGCAGACCCTAATTAAAACTTGAAAAGCAAAAGTACACCATACTTGAGAGTACCGACGCCGCCTCCTTCCCATCCTCCTCCTCCTCCTCCTCCTCGTCGGAGAGGAAAGAGGTGCCTGTACTTTACTTTCGTTGTTATAGCAAACCTGTCAAATCCAATCCACTCAGAAGTAATATTTTCGAATTCTGATCCTGTCATCGTTTATAGCAAATTTATCACAAATCAAATCACACCTCTGGTCTCCCAGCAAATCCCAGATTTACCATGTCTAGTGCAACAAATTCTGATTTCTTCAGATCTACTTTTGGCTATGGTTTTCAATCTTCAATTTTCTCAAAAGATGTGAATTTTGCCCAATATTCATCCACCAAAGTCAAGAAAATTCTCCAATTCTGGGGGATAGGTACAAGATGATGATGATTATTATTATTATTATGCAATATTTTCTTTATCTTTTTTATTTTATTTTCTCCTTTTGCATGTCTATATTGAATTGTATTGTATTGGTTTGATAGGTGGATGCCATCGATTGCTGATGATGATTATGGAGAAAAGAAGAAAAAAAAAAACAAACACATCCACCCTTGCCATTGGGGTAAACATTTGCTCACAGTTCATATTATTATTGCAATCTTTTTTATTTGTTTGTTATTCTTCATTTTTAGGTGTATATAAATCATATTGCTAGCAGCGATGCTGCTAGAATTTTATCGTTGCCATGCCAAAATTTGAGAAAATATGACATGAATATTGTACCATAGTAGATATTCAAGAATTTTGTTAGTGCTAAATAAGTATTAAGTCTTTTGTATACTTAATAATAGACATACATTTGAGCAACTCCACCCCTAAAATTCTGCTGGCACCAAGCCCATTTAATCCACTCAAATGAATAGTGATTGACCACAATGAACAATAAGTGGCCAAATGCATCTCTACTCCTAAAAAATACGCTGGCACAAAGTCTAAAAAATACGTTGGCACAAATGCATCTTCACCCCTACAAAATACGTTGGCATCTAGACCATTTAAAATATTAATAATTTTTTTTATAAAATAAAAAAAAATAGTTTTAATTTTGGATATGATTTTTAACCAATCTTGTCACGCCACGTGTCATTATCCGAAAGTATTATTTTGTGGATAGATTTTTGATAAGATTTTCAACCAATCCTAAGGCGTCACGTGTCATTATCTGTTTACAATAATTTAGCCAAGATTTCGATCGGATTTTCAACCAATCTTGTCACGCCACGTGTCATTATCCAAACGTACTATTTTGTTGACAGATTTCCGATAAGATTTTCAACCAATCTCGACGCGCCACATGTCACTATCTGTTTACAATAATTTAGCCAAGATTTCGATAGATTTTCAACCAATCACGTAATGCCACGTGACATTGTCCAGAACCTCATCCTTTCTTTGTTTGTCCATATAAACCCTACTTCCATCATCATTCATACACTAAACTCAATCCTTCTTTTTTAGCTCAGAATCATTATTCATCGTTTTTAAATCTTAAGTTCTTACAATATCTTCTTCAAGGAGATTGTATGAGTAATAGAAAAATTGTTGGCACAATGGGAGGAATTGCTCAATCTCGATGGAATCCAAATTAAAAAATTTGTACCTAAAACTCCCCATCAAACCCTCTCCATTATTGGCTAGGTAGAAAAATTCATTTCTTAGATATCACTTTTTACATTTTTTCATATTAAATATTAACTATTTCATATCCACTCTCTTGCTTTTTGTTTTTTATTTTCCCTCCTTTGTATTGCTTTTACTCCGTTCATTAACTCTGTATGTGTGTGTTGATACGTAAAGAGGCTATGGATGGACGACGATTCAATCTTGGACCGCTTCAGTGTGACAAGTGAAAGCTAAGTAACAAAACTCCTTTCCTACACAATACTCCTTCTTTTAGAGGGGTTTCTAGTTTTACGCCCCTAGGCTAAGGTCTGATTTGATATTGCTGTGTTTTTAAGACGCTCTGCTTGCAGAGGAGGACCTCGGAACTCCCGAGTGCTAGAACCATTTTGTTGGGCCTATTTAGCTCTCTTTCAGCCCATACTTGTTAGCTCTCAACTTGTTTTGTTGCTCAAGGCCCAGGCTATCAGGACGAAATACGATGGCTGCGTTTTATCCTTGTAGCTAGGGTTTTCCCTTCCAGCTGAATATAAATACTGTTGCTGTGCTCTGTAAAAGGGGATCTGATGAATGAAATGAACCTTCTTTCCTTTTAATTTCCCCGATTCCATCTGCCTGAACCGATTGGGCGTACCACCGAGTCCTTTGTGCATCTTTTTCTCTCGCTTGCTCCTAGTCTCTCATCAAATCGCCAACCAAGTTGATTGGATTCAAACTAGAAAGGTATGAGAATTTTAATTTTTCTGAATTAATTTGTTTGTTTGCTGTCATTTGATGAATTGGGATGCTATGTTAATTAATTATTACTCACAAATTTCTGGTTTGTTTTCGTTATATTTGAGTTCAATTTCTGATTTGAGCACTTGGTTTATGGAAGAAGGACGCTTGCTTCATGGTTTACTGTGTTACTGGGGTCTTTGCAATTTGTATTATATTCCAATAGTAGTTTTTTCGGGTCCGGGTTTTGGTTACTAGTTTAACATTTTCTTTCTAGCTCTCCATACTAAATTTGAGAGAAATTGGTAGGGGAAGATTGAGAGTGCTTGTATGCCTCTGAATTCGTGCATGTTTTGTTTCTGATCATGCTTTTTTGTTGTTGTTGCTATTGTGGATTAGCTTGGTTTCCGTAAGTTTTTCTGTTTCAAAATTTTTAATTGCTTTGCACAAGCTGGACCGACAGATCAGTACATTCCATTATCAGTACTTGGAGGAGGGATTGTTGTGTTAGGTTAGTAAATGAATCGGTGTAGGGTTGATTATGGGCCTGCGGGATTGTTGCTTGTATTTATAATTGTTTTCGGTTGCATTGTTCTTGTGTCCTCGCACTAACCTTTCGGAAGTGTTGAGTTCAATTATTTTCAAATGGTGGTCGTAGGTGGCATTATTGTTTTGGAAATAGTAGTGGAATAACTTTCACGTTTTTGAAAGATAAGCTTTTGGGGAAATAAACATAATATAATTTGGTAACTTCTTTTACTTGAATTAAAACTTGGTCTGGGTTGTTAAATTCTCTCATGGATTTTGTGGTTTCCAAAGCTCCTTTTGTTTTATTCATAATAATTCTTTAACTTATCACTCTTACTGTTTCATATCTTACTGAGCAGGGAGATGATAACTAGACACTTTTTCACAGTGGTTTAGGAATGTAGTCTATTACTTGAAAAATATAAACGTTTCTTCTCTTCTAAAAGTCTTTGTTAATGCATGATGCAAGCAAGGTTTTACACCAAATTTTTAAACAGTATCGGTAAACTTCCAGTGGGTAAACTTTAAGTGGGTAAATTTAGTGTGCATAGTGGAAATAATCGTGAGGCAACTGGTACAGTTGATGGGTTTTGCTTGACACACTATATGTACACACCTTGCATTCCACATGTCACTAGTGGAATGATAGACGGTCACCCCGTTTCCTTGCATGAAGTTGATGAGATCGAGTCAATAGAATGGTATGCACAGTTGTGCGAACTTAGAAGTCATTATATTTTAAGTGCTGATTTCAAAGTAAAGGACGAAAAGGGTCGCGTGTTTCTTGTTGACAACCCGACTAGACGGTTGGTTAAAATCATGGGTTAAGTGTAACACATGTTTTAATGCAAGATATTCCCATCTTCCATATCCGAACTTGTTACTGTTAGTGAGGTAAATTTCGAGACTTAACATGCTTAGGATAGGACTTTCTTTGTTGTTGTTGTTGTGTAATGTTATGTTGTTTTATCTTATGTTGTTGTTGTATCATGTTGGGTATATCTTGTGCGGTATGAGGGATGTCCAGCTGCAGATAAAGAGGGATCATTTAAATATTAATCTTAACACGATTTTTTTAGTGTCTTTTGGCGAGCGATATAGAGCTATGCTCTCGCATATGCTAGAAGCTACAAGTCAGAAGGCTAAATTGGATTCCCAAGCATTTGCTCTATATCGCCCGCCAAAAGACACAAAAAAATTGGGTCAAGATTAATATTGAAATGATCTCTCTTTGTCTGCAGCTGGAAATCCCTCATACCACACAAGATATCCCTAACATGATACAACAACATAAGATACAGCAACATAACATCATACAACAACAACAAAAAAGAAAGTCATCCTAAGTATGTTAAGTCTCGAAATTTACCTCAGTAATAGTAGCAAGTTCGGAAATGAAGGATGGGGATATCTTGCATTAAAACATGGGTTACACTTAACCCATGATTTTAACCAACCGTCTACTCAGGTTGTCAACAAGAACAACGGACCCTTTTTGTCCTTTATTTTGACATCAACACCTAAAATATGATAACTTTGAGTTCGCACGACTGTGCATACCATTCTATCGACTTGATCTCATCAACTTCATGCAAGGAAACGGGGTGACCGTCTAACATTCCACTAGCGACATGTGGAATGCAAGGTGTGTACATATAATGTGTCAAGCAAAGCCCATCAACTGTACCAGTTGCCTCACGATTATTTGCAATATGCACACTAAATTTACCCCCTTGAAGTTTATCTACTAGAAGTTTACCCCTGTAGCTACTGTTTAAAATTTTGGTGTAAAACCTTGCTTGCGTCCTACATTAACAAGGACTTTTAGAAGAGTAGAAACATTCATATTTTTCAAGTAATAGACTACATTCCTAAACAACCGTGAAAAAAAGTGAAAGAAATGAAACAGTATGAGTGATAAGTTCTAGAACTATTATGAATAAAACAAAAAGAGCTTGGATGTGTATATACATGGAAAAATTTAACAACCCAGTCCAAATTTTAATTCAAGTAAAAGAAGTTATCAAATTATAATTTGTTTATTTTCCTAAAAGCTTATCGTTCAAACACGTGAAGTAGAGAGATGGCGAGGAAGAATTGTGGGGTTTTGATATGTGAGACGATGATTGGCAATTGCTATAACCCCCGAATCCCAATCCGAGGTCGTCGTCTTCTTCATCATCACTGTACGGTCCAAATCTTAGCCCCCAAATTCAATGCCAACATCTGCCATTCCTTCCTCCAATGCATCCGCCTTCTCCTTGGCCTCACTCCTAGCTAGGGTCTCTGCCTCCGGTGCACTCGGCCTTAGGCCCAGGCTCAAGTAAGTACCCCCTCGCTCTCTCTCTCTTCCTGTTTTTTATCATCTATCTGCCACTGACTGCGCTGCCAGCTGTTTCTACAGAACTTCTGTTTCCGAGTCCCCAAGACATGATCATGTTGACCCGAAAAGAAGGAATATAAGAGAGCAATTAAAGAAGTTAAAGGTAAACAACTGCAGATTGCTACCTAGTATTGCATTGGATTGAACACAACATGTATGATTTGGACTAGTTAGTTAATTACATCAAAATGAGAAAAACAATCATGAAAAAATGATCCATAATCTGATCAGAATTGCTTCCTAATTCCCACCTGCAAGTGCATATTCAGTTCAGTTGGAACTCGGATATTCCTCCCTTGCTGGCTGGCTTTCCAAAAGGACTGTGCAGCTTCTTATTTATTTTGTAGGTGGACGTTTGCAAGCAGTTTTCTACTTTACTACAGCAGCTTGCCCAAATAGTAAGTTGTGATGCAATACAATTTTATCAGTAAGTTATTTCTTGTAAACTGCTGCTCTGCAACTTGTATTTGGTGTACTATTCTTTTGCAGCCGTCACGTACTCAATTTCAATCATTCGAAAGATCATGGAGCATTTCCCACATGTAAAACTATATAAGGTTCTGCTTACTGTTGAGGTATGGCGTCCTAATCATGTCTTCTGCTAACTTGATTGGATCATTTGGGAACTATATTTTCATATTGTAAACTGTTTGTATCCCATCTTAAGATTAAGGTGAAAACAACGTGTGGGTTCTAGTTGTTTGAATCTTAAATCTTAATAAATTACTAGACAAGTATTTAACTTTGCTTTTCACTACCTGGCTATCTGGCAGTTGCTATATTGTTTGAAAGTAAAGTTTTTTACTTTTTTTTTTTATAATCATTTCTTTATGAAAGCAACATTTTTTTTTTCAACGAGGATGCGTATTAAATGAAGCTAGGAATTTAGAAATTAATGTTTAAGAATATTTAAATTCATTCACAAATTCTTTATGTTAAGGAAGTAAATTTAAATTCATTTCACAGATCCTATGTAAAATGCTCTCGTACCAAATACAAATACTCAAATTTCGTTTGTTTCGAATGGATTAAGTTGGCGAAAAAGGAACTTCATTTTGGATTACACATAATATCAGTAGTGCATTAGGTCCAATGCAGACACATTAATAACATGCGAAAAGTAAAAAGAAAATGTACATCACTCATTATGTCAAAACAAAAACATACCACAAAAGATAGAGAAGTACTTACCAAATCCTTCGTCCGCAAAGCTCCACACAAGACGCTGAGCTATGGCTGATGGGGGACTGGGGTTGCGATCAGCTGACTGGACTCTAGGATGGACCTTCCTGGAGATTGGTCTGTGAGAGTGGGATTCGGTCCAAGATTTCTCGTAATATGATTTCTTCTTGATTGAAGGGTTTCGATTGCGTACGATTGCATTTCTAGGCTCGCGTTATACTGAAGACACGCGTACTAAGTGTGTGTGATGACTTAATGCCCTCGAGTTGTTGCTGCGGCTTGGCGAAGCCAGAAGGAAACTCTGGGTGGAGGCCCGGCGAGCGAATACTGACGGTCCGCTACACAAAAAGGTCATGTCAGTCGGGGTAAAATCAACAGGTTTTCCGTCACGTTAATTGATTGAACAGAGCTTGAAAGTAATTATGAGGATTGAATTTCTCTGTATTTGTGCGGGAGAGAGTCTTTATTACTAGAACTCGTCTTAGTAATGCTTGTGCTGTAGCTCCCACATTCGATAGTTTTTCCCTCTGGAGGTGATATTGTTCTTTATGATAGCTTACTGTATTGTATTCACTGAATTTACTATTTCAGGCGATATATTATGCACATTGCAAAATAGCAAGGTCATGGCTGGGTTTGGAGAGCTGCCACGCCACGTCCCTTTCGGTGCATGCATTGGCTCAACTTCCGCACAACTTTTTTATCAAACTACTTGAGTATATAGTGTAAAGGACAGAGCGCGGCGGCCATTTACACATTTTTGCTACGTTTTGAAGTTGTGTACAAATGTTATACGCTCCTACGGAATCTGATGGAAAGCTACACTGATATGTTGGGAGTTTCTCCATTTATTTCATGTGTAAAATAGATCTTGCAGTTATTAAACGTGTCCGAGGAGATCGTGGATGAAACCAGGTACACAAGGGTTAGTGGCTTGCATCCAGTTCCAAATCTTCGCGTGGGTCGTCGTATAGAGCTGTAAGTCAAGAAACTCGCAAACAATAGGGTTGATCGGTCGATTAAGATTTCAGCATGGGAGATCGTGTTGGATAACATGCTGGAGATGTCGCCAATGAATCTCTATCGCTAAGTCGTGGGACAAGTGTGAGGAACAACATCGGAGTCACGAGCGGCTTCGCCTCAATTCGGAAATCCAAACACTAAGCCTCACAGAAGGAAAATAGTGTGGAAGTGTGCTGCTGTATAAGATTGTCCAAGGTGTTGCAACAGCGGAGAGGGTGAGTTCTTGATACTCACCTCGGCCATGATCATCCGTTGATGGGGGGAAGAGCAACGACGCTTAGAGTTGGGATTGCCCATGAAGAGTAGAGAGGCTTAGGGGTCATAGGACGGTAGACAAGACGTGAAAGAAAACGTGGGAGGCGACGGTAGCCGTCGGTGCTGGTATCCACGGCCCCTGTTCCGCAGACGGTTGTAGGGAGAACTTACGGTTTTCCTGGGGTGTGAGTAGTATCCAGTCTAGATGATACTATTGCGAATCTATGAGAACTTGTCATGAAGGCCGGAAGAGGGGAAGGAGGGTTCATCCATGTGAACGGCACACACTGCAACATGGGTGGAAGGTGGATCGGCTCTCCCAAATACAGAGAAGGAGCGGGCTGACGAGTGGGGAATGAGGAAGAGCAATCGTTGCGTCGGAGAACATGCGTCAGTCTTTTGAGCATGCGGAATGTTTGGACTAGTTTTTGCTTCTGTAAGAGATCGAAGAAGTGGTTTAAAAGCGGCTGGTAACATCCCTGGGACACAGACTGGCTCAACGAGATTAGAGAACAATGGCGAGACGAGATAATGGAGGCGGTTCTGGATGTCAGGAAAATGCCTTTACGACCTGGAGGTTATGGAGTTTTCTTGATTGGAGTCCCGGAGACGTCACGTACAGGAGGAAGGATCATGGTGGTTGACGGCCTGGGTACAACGTGATGAAGTAAAGGAAGGTGGGGGAATCTTCAATTTATCTTTGTTAGGCATGAATTCAATGTGCTCTTGACACCAAAGCCTAACGTCGGAGAGAAAAGATTCAAGAGGGCATAAAGGATAGGTCGGAGGATAAGGGGTAGCCATGGCAGCGCTTGAAGAAGAGCTATGTCCAGAAGCAGCCAACTAGTATAAGAGTGAGTCAGGCTGGATGTCTTGATTGTGTCGCTACTGTGCCGCGATACCAGCCAATGTTCCAGAGCGCACTCATAATAGATACCGGCAAGTGTGACCCAGAGAGATAACAACCATTGTGCAGAGTCAGCGTGGCATCTAATGGCACAGTCTAAGTGGTAAGAGCCACCACTGGTCGGATATCTGATGCACTCATCCACTCTGAAAGCATATTAGCCAGAGAGATGCCAATGCCAGCGATTCTCTCGGAGAGGATAGAGATCTAGCGCGCTGCGGAAAGTGCTGGTGGGACTAACAAACGATTAGGCGAAATGAAAAGAGGGACGTACAGGCCTACCATAAAAACATGGATGCGCCGTAAACAACATGCAGGAGAGAAAAGGATTGGTACCTCTAGAGGAACAGGGTAATGGGCACCGGGAGGTCTCCTGGAGAGGCACGGTAACCGGTCAGCGGCCTAGGTGAAATGATCTGCTACCGAGCACAGAACTGGAGGCACTCGAAATGGATTGGGTCCTGCACATCTACCCATTGGGCTAATGCTGCTTGTATAAGTATGCGGGCTCCGCGCAGCGGTGCGGCGTGGTAGAGGTGGAGTGGGGAAAGGTTCCAATGGGAATCGGGGTTAACTGGGCAGTCGCATGCCCCCTCGGCTACTGCGTGACGCATGTACACCGCGATGGCTCGATGTGGTAGCGAAAGGATCAGTGATCCAAGGCAGAACCCATCAGTTCAACTAAGTGAGTACAGAGAATAGACGGGGACAAATCGCGATGGGGTGTTAGTTAAGTTATCAAATAACGAAGAAATCTGATAGCGATGAGTCCAATTTTCGCCGAATGAAGTCTTGACACAATCTGTGCATGATAGGATTTTTCCACGTACTACTGTCTATTGTCGTTCTGAATGTTCAGGAAAGAGCTGTATAGAAATTCAACCTATAGCGGCGTTGCAGCTGTTGAAAACTTCAGAGTTCGGGGAGAATTAACTATTGTGACTCTCTTTTAAAGTAGGGCCGAAAGGCGGTATTTGTTACGATAAACGTCACCATAATTCCACGAAGGACTGGGCACAGCATGTCATATGGTAGTGACAAGTGTGAATGATTAACCAGAGATTCCACTCAGGCTAGTCTATTCCATGTGTTAGGGTCCTATCGGAGCAACTTCAGATGTCAGAGGAGGCCGGACAAGCCTAGACGTAGGAGAAAGCATAGGGTGGCGTGAGCTAGGAATAAAGATAGACGGCAGCGGAGTGGAGAAAAAATGAGAAAAACTCCTGTTGATGTGTATCTTGACTCTAGGTTCCACGTATCTCTCTGGTGTAAAATTGACACTCTGGAGGTCTTTGTCATGTGGACAAATTGTGGGGAGGCGCTTGACAGAGTCAGAGCGAAAGATGAAATACCACTACTTTAACGTTAAGTGGTTTACATTATCACATTGGGTGACCGTGAAACTCCGGTATCAGACCGCAGGGCGATGGATTTACGAGCACACTAAGTTCGCTTATCTGGAGAGAAAGGAATGTGCCCTCTGCTCCCGCAGGAGGGACACGATCCACGCAGCGGAGGGAAGGACACATTATGGCTTGGGTTTGTTGGTAAGAGAAGTCGTAGGGATAAAAAGACGACATATTAATTACGACGCGCGAGTAGCACAAAACTCTCGATTCGCACCAACAAGTAGTAGAGAGCCGCCAGGTGTTGCCTGGAATGCCATTAGACTGCAAGTGAGCTCAAACGAGAACTAGAAATCTCGTGTGGAACAAAAGGGTAATGGCTCCGGCAGTGCTATGTGAATTCTGAAGTGACTTTCATTCCATTGTACTGAGCATTACGAACACAGTCTCTGAGACAAGGCCGTGGCATAAAATAGCTTTTCAGTTTCTGCGATCCTTTATGATCCTTTTCCATCGAGGCTGGAGTATTGAGCTTTGAGTCTCCAAACGTCCTTCGATCCGAGTTTTAATTTGATCCAGCTTAGGAGGTGGGAGCGAAAAAGTTACACCGGCTCTCGACTAATGACCATCAATTGAGAGATCAGGAATATTCGAGACATATTCTTGGCCTATGTGCGCAGCCAGCGTTCATATGCGGGACCGCTCGCTCTTATTTGATACCTTCCGATATGTCGGGGCTGCTTGCCACATAATTGATGCTGAGTGACCATGCCAGAAATTTCAAGACACCAAAGTATGGATAATCTAGATAGGATTTTGTTTAGTCAATCTTGGGGAAAGGGAGGCAATTAATGCGTATGCT